GTTAACGCTAACGTTACTACTACTACTCTCGAAAATTCTCTTTACATTGTAAAATTCACTTGAATCTGATTAAACGTCTATCTCTCTCTGACCCCACTTCTATATCATTTATTTATAAAAACGGAAACATTTCATCTTTGCGCGATTAAGCATAAAATGTTATCAACTTGCAACATTTATCATCACTGAATTGCTGCAAAAATAACAAGGCATTCGTAACGACAAAAATGACAAGATCGTAAAGGAAAAAAAAAAATAACGATTAAATATTAATATAAATGTTTAACTATTTATGCAGAATGCTGTGAACTTTCCTGATAAAAAATAGAAATCTAAAAACAAACGCTTCTTTTTTTAAATAATATTATAATTATCCGGAAAAGATTAATAATTATTAGAGTGTGAAAGTGATAAATATCAGTTAGTTTTTTAAATTTATAAATAAATAACACTAGATATAAAACAATATTTTTAAAAAATTGACATGAATTAAAATTGATGTAATTTAAACAAACGATTGTGTGGATATAATCAATAAATTCGTCAAAACATCTGTTCTTGAAATATAATACACGTGCATTATAAAACATTTTGTATATATAAAATAAACTATTTATTTACTTGTTACGATATAAAGCGAAAAGGGCGGAACCAGTGCTATAGTTAGATAAACGAACACCATTTATATGCAATTTTTCGTCGAATAATTCACAGATGTCCTGCACTTGTCCTGTACACTTATTGTTTCTTTAATCATCTAATGTAACTGTTTCTTTTAATAATAATCATGCAATTATCGTAAAGTAGCATGACCTTGCGTAACATCTAAACGTCATATCGCGCAAGCCGACGTGCTGAATATAGAATAATATATACATTTTCTCAGGAGAAGTCCCGCATTCTCCTCTCTATTTAGCATAGTATTTAGCACTAAACGCAAACGCTTGCTCCTAAATATTTCATTTATTCAGTAAAAAGATCTAGTAAGAAAAACTTTCGAAAATATCAATAAAAAATATAAGAATTGAATTAAAGTGTTTTTGCTTCACCAAAAAAACTCGAAATACGCAATACAAAAAATATAAAAATTGAATAAATTTAAATATTTTTATTTTAAAAAATATATATCCTGCTTTAACGCGCGGGCTAACAAAATAAAAATATCTTTACCACATCATATTTTTATATTTATCCAAAAAAATCTAAAAACTTTTTCATAAAGTAATGGCACATAGCTATTCTTATAAATATCGATATGAATTAATTAAAATGTAATTAAGATTATTTACTGATTCTATCTTTAAAAATCACGAAGCGATTAAATCAAAATCTTTATAATTATCACACACGTTTAACTGATAAAAGTGTTTCAAGCTTTTCAAGCGTTTAGTGAAAAAAGCCATCTGTTTACAATATCGATACAAAATAAAAGATATAAAAATTGAATAATTAAAAAAAATTTATTTTAGAAAAATATTTATTCTTTGATGCACATGCTAACAAAATAAAACTGATTGAAATGGAGATATTTTTGCTTCGTCGTGTTTTGTATATTTTACCGGAAAAAAAAACCAAACATGCTTTTGTATGCAAAGTAACATATGGCTATTTTCATAAATATTAATACGAATTAATTCGGATTTAACGCAGAGTTTTTGTTTCCTTCTAATTCTATCTGTGGAAATTGTAAGACGATCAAAAAAGCAAAACTTTTTTAAGTATCATCGGACACACTTGTCGAGAAAATAAAAGCGTTTTCACTTGAACGAAAAGTTTCGTACTATCGGAAACACACCCAATTGCTTCTGCACTAAACATTTTTAAAGCGACTTCAAATTTTTGTCTGTATTTTATTTAAAGTGAAAGTATCATTGGTTTTTTTCTTGATTTCAATAGTTTTACATATACAATCTAAAAATAACATTCAAACAAAAACACGTAAGGAGATGTCGCTTCGCGAAATACAAGGTCTCAATTTCTACAGTCAAAAAAAAAAAGAGAAAATTTGAGAAACGCTAGAGAAGCGCTAATATTTGCGACAATTTTATAAAATTTCAGTCCTAATTAAGCGAATATCTCTCAATGATTTTCGCGCGTTCGAAGACTCGTGCGTACGTTAGATCGAGAGGGAAAAAAAAATTGAAGACGCGGTGACCGTGTTACTGTATGCGGGGGATTGGAGAAAAGCCGATGATAGTACTTACAAGTCGCATGTGGTGAGAAACTCCGAGAGCTCACGAACACCCGCTGCGACAGCAGGAACCGCGCCACGCACATTCGGAACCCGGTTAGCCGCCGGAAAACAACACGGCGAACGTCGAGCGACGCGATACAAGCTCGCCGACGGTTTGAGGTTATATACCAGAGAGGGTGTGAGTCGGAATGCGAGCGAGTGAGAGACGGGGAGAGGGAGAAAACGAGCGAACGAGCGAGCGAGAAAGTGACGGAGCGGGAGGAGGAAGAGAGAAAGGAGTATTTCTTGCGGAATCACCTGGCCGCATATATCGACGATATAGCACGCCGCGCGGCTCTCTCGGATTGTCGTATTACATAAATATATATATATGCACACACATATATGTAATATATATATAGATGTAGTCATTATATGCAAGAAGAATGTGATGTTTTCTCAATTAATCACATACCCGACCAAACTGCTCAGAAGTAGGTTTTCTTTTTTTTTCTAACACCCCTCATCTTCCTTCGGTGTGGTGCGCGTCCTTCTTATCTGATCGTGTACTCGAATTGTCGCGGCCACAGAGCCGTAGACGGCACCATGTGCGAAAAAATTCACTAGAGGCGTCGACTGAACCGTCAGCAGCGAAAGCGTGGAAAAGCGCCGAAGGAAGTGGTCGATGAGCGCGAAGCGCCACCTAAATACATTTTTATTTTTTGAAATCTTCTAGCGAGTTTCGCAATTTTTTACCGTCAGTAAAATATATATTTTTTTAATACGTGATTACGTGCGAGAAAAATGGTGCAGTCTTTTATTTAAACGCTAGAGCGGACAAAAAATATTTATCGTTCTTCACGTACGCGTGAAATATGTTACGAAATGGGCCGTTCCCAATTTGACGGTGATGCGTCGAGGCTCGCTTCGAAATTCCCGCACTATCGGCTCGGTCGATAGTTCGTGCATGAATTGTATGTACGCGAGAGGAACCCGAGCATCCATGGCGTCCTACCAAGCTGCTGTCGTCGTCCTGCGGCGCGCTGTGCAGAGCGCATGCCCCGGGGGGTTTATTATCTTCTTTCTGTTCAAGTGCCATTTCGTTGCATGCAGTGCAGTCTATAAAACAGAATGCGTTCTCCGCGGGTCTCGAGTTTCCTATCACTTATCGTCATTCGTAGCGTATAAACATAACAGCACGCGGTCATTAGCCCGATTCATATTGTTTACGTATCCGTCTGACACATGAGAGCGCGGCTGGAGCGCGGCTAAAATTGCGTCGGCATCACTTCGGCGATCGTAAAGGACAAGCATAGATCGTTCGTGGCGTCTCTCGAGCGTTGCCAGATATCTTTGACGTGACTTTCTCACCGAGCATCCGTGCAAAAATGTCAGCCAGCTACGCGGACGGGTTATCGCCGTACGAAAACAAAGGAGTGTTGGGGCAGGAAGAGGTAAAAAATAAAAACAAAATTACTTGGCGGGATCAAATTTTTTTCATTTTTTTCGATATTACGGCGCGTAAACGCGACGGTGTTTATATCGCGATGCCAATTTATTTTGAAGTTGAGCGGGAACGAGCGACGCTTTATTTTTTTTTTTTTTTT